TCAGGCTGGCCTTAAATTCACTTTGTTGCCCAGGCAGTCCTCGAACTCACAGTGATCCTCCTGCCTCAGCCTCCTGAGTGCTGGGATTACAGGCGTGCGCCACCATGCCCAGCCTCCCTTTTTATTTTATGAGAGAGGGATTTGCTAAGTAGCCCAGGCTCGCCCCGACCTTGAGATCCTCCTGTCTCAGCCTCCTGACTGGTTCAGATTACAGATACACTTCACTGTACCCAGCCAGCAGAGTTAGATTTTTAAAAATGTATTTTAAAGCATCACAGGTGCTGGATGTGGTGGCACATCTCTGTAATCTTAGCACTTGGGAGGCTGAGGCAGGAAGATCACCAAGAGTTGTAGGCCAGCCTGGATTACATAGTGAGACCCTGTCTCAAAAACAAAAACAAACACACAAGATAGCTGTGATAGTTACACTACTAATTTTAGTGCATTGAAGGAAAGGGCTTGTGCTTATGTTGTCTGATCAATCTTGCATGCCTATATCTTATAATCTGAGCAACTACTTTGAATACAATAATACCCAACATAATAGCCATTGTTAATTTCCTGTTTATCTTGTTTTGAAATTCTGTATCGTTTTTTATTGTTTTTTCTCTTAAAAAAAAAAAAAAAGTACATGGGACCACCAAGGCCACCAGGACCAAAGCCTCCAAGAAGGGAGTGGAGGTGGCCCGAGCTGGGGACATTGTCAGCCTGAGGGTGTGCTGAGTGGGTGAGAAGCAGTGGTGGCCAGGGCTGGGATTCAGAGCTATCCATAGGGAAAGGGAGGGAAGGAGCTGTGGAAAGGGGAATGTTCTGTATGTGCACCAACTCTCCGCAAAGAATGGAATCATTATGTACTGCAATATCTGGCCAGCCCATCAAGCAGAAAAAGAAATAGAATGAGCTGAGGTGTCTAGGACAGCAGATGACAGATGTCTGTGAGTTTGGTGGACTGACAACTGTTGGTCAACTTGTCACACCCAGCTGAACTGAATCAGTATTTTGGTGGGTGTGGAGGGCCCACCTGAGGATTGTTGCCAACAGCATAAAAAGAGAACTGGAGGGAAAGATGGTGCTGTTGATTCTCCTGAAGAAACTGTTGTGCTGGCTTTCCTGATATGAACTCAGTTCTTATTACCAGAGTAGCTCAGGTCCTCACTGTGGCTGAGGATGGCTGTGATACCTTTTGGGGGAGCTCTGGTTCTTATTTGGAACATCTTGGCTCCAGTGCAGGTCCCTCAGTCTGCTGGCGTAGATCCTTCACCCCACTGGCACAGACTTTCTAGCTTTCACCACTGACCTTTGGGCCTTCCCAGTGCAGATCCTTGGTACAGACTTGCAAGAGACATTGCTGTGGGCTCTAGGCCTCCAGCTGGACTTGTGGAGGACACTGCTATGGGACCAAGGCCCTCAGGTGGGTTCTTTGGGTCTCTTGTGTGGACAGACTTCCTGCACTCTTTTGCATTTGACTTTTGGGGGAACATTATAAAATAATCCTATAAATTATGTGTCCTGTATTAAATCCTTTCCCTTGTAAGCCCTGACTGTAACAGTGAGGGAAGCCTAGGAGAGCCCAGGTAAGACTCAGCCTATTCTCACCTGCCGAGATGACTGCACACAGTGGTGGCAGAGGGCTCAGGGCTGGGGTAGGGAGCAGGGAATGGGACAGGTCTAACATTATGGGGCAGGTGGCAGGAAGTGAGCCACCTGGAACCTGGGGCCTCACAGCACACAGAAAGTCTTAGCAAACCCCTGGAGTGGTGTTCTGACCGGTCACATCTGCCTGGCCCACACACAAACCAGGAGGACAGAGGGGCCCCACGTCGCCGTGTGCTCCTGACTGTGCCCATGTCGACGAGAGTGGAAGAACACCTGGCACATCTTGTCATCCACATCACTTGGAGGAGACCCCAGGCATGGGGGCTTCTCCCCAGCACCACATCTGGGCCCAAAGTCCTGTCTCTGCCTCCTTCTGCACAGAAGAAGGTGCTCTTGCTTCATCCAGAAAACCCAAAAACAGCTCTCAAAAAGTAAATGAATAAAACCCAAATAAAACTGCAGTAGAATAAACAAATGCTGGCAAGTGTGATTAAGAAGAACACATACAGCAGAAAAATGACAATGGCAGACTGGCATGTAGACTGGCAGGTGAGCAGTGGGTCCCTCCTCGATAACTTCCTGACGGGGCTGACACTCAGAGACAGGAAGAGAAAGAGCTGGTGCCGGGGCTGGATACCTCTGGGAGGTCTGCCAGCAACACTCCCCATGGTGGGTGGCCTTTGTTAGAAGAAGAGAAAAAACAGAAAATCTCCCAGATCAAGCTACAAATAATATAGATACTGAAATGGATAATGCTATCTGAAAAAGTTATTCAATATATCGTGACAAGTAGGAGTTATCCCTCTGAAACAAATACGACTCAATGTCTTGAAGATATTAGTATATTTAGTTTTCCAATTTTTTTTTTGTACCAGGAATCGAACTTGAGGTCTCATACTTGCCAGGCAGGTGTGGTGCCCATAAGCTAAGTCCCTGGCCATGATATTAGTATAATTTAATGTATCAACAGCTTCAAGGGGAAAAAGCACAGAATCTTCCCCAAAGTGGCTGCACATACAATGATAAAAATGCATGGTGGGCCATGGTGGAGCTCAGACAGGAAGATCACTATCAGTTTGAGGCCACCCTGGGCTACACAGTCAGTTCAAGGGCAACTTGAACTGCATAGTAAGACCCTATCTCAAAAATCAAACAACCCACGCCTTCTAGCTTGTTTTGGTGCTGCGATTTGAACCAAATGCCTTGCCATGCTGTGCAAGGGCTCCATCACTGAGCTGCATTCCCAGCCTTAAAGCCCAGCCCTGCACATGGGCTTTAGCACACTGGAAACAGAACCGCCTGAACCTGGCAAAGGCATCTTTCCTAACAGAAGATGACCTGCACCAGCACTGCCTATCTGGGGACGAGTGCTTCTGCTGCAGCCAGGAATGGCCACCTGCTCAAGGCTGTGATGAAGCCCAGGTACCAGAGTCACAGAAGTGTCCCGGCACAGCAAGGACAGCACAGGTCAGAAGCCTTGCACAGCTGCAGTGATTAATTAAGGAGTGAGATGAAAGGCCCTTTTATGTACACTGCAGTTAATTATTATTTTGTTATGAAAAAAATCATAAAGCACTTAACATGAAATGTGCTAGATCTGTATGAGTAAAACCATAAAGAAATAAAGCTTTCAAGTTGGGGACAGAGCTCGTGGTCAGCACCTGTCTAGCATGAGAGAGGTCCTGGATTTCATCCCCAACACTAAAAATAAATAAGTAGAAAGAAATGGAGTTTTGATCTGTACTAAAATCTGTCTAAGACCGGGAACTGCTGTATGTACTGCCCCAGTGTGGCTGCCTGCTACAGATGGAAAGATGTCACTTCTCAAATTAACTCACGCGTTCAACTCAGTCTGATGTACACTTCAGGGACCTTGAGAGGCTTGTCTGATTCACACATATGGGCTGCAACCCAGTGGGGAGCACTGCCCAGCATGTGTGGGGCCCTGGGTTCTGTTCCTACCACCACCCCTAAAAGTTCGTCTTGAGAGAAAATGCTTACGAATAAGAAGGAAAATGTGGAGACAAGAATGTGGGGGACTTTCCTTTAGATACAAAAGTGGAATAGAAAGCTACATGATTTTAAGTAATGAGTTACTGGGGCCTAAGTAGATCACACAGAAAGAGAAACTGGGCCTGGTGCTTGCGCAGGATGGTCGGGGCTGGGGTGAGTGCTGCCGGCCACAGTCTGGGAAAAGCTGGAGCTGGGCGCCACATGAGGCAAGACAATCACTGAGAGAGATTAAAGGTCTAAATGCAAAAGGAGAGCTGCAAGAGCATAAGAAAGTGACAGAATCACCTCTCCATCACCTCTGGCATAGAAAACACCTTCCTGCATGGCGCCTGGGTTCAGAGAGACACAAGGAGCCTCCTGAATGGTACAGAGAAGCCCTGCACTGGGGGGACCATGGATGGAGCCATGGGAGACTTTGGTCAGACAGAGCAGGCGCAGGCTGATTCTGGGCAGTGAGAGCCTCCCAGTAACCCACAGCAACCACAGGCTAGCACTCTGCATCAAGCGCGCAGAACAAGAAGTGAGTGGTGAAAGGGCTTCAGAATAGGCTCTCTCTTAAGTCAGGTTCAAAACACGGATGAGCCAGTGCAGCCGCACACACCTGTAACCCTGCTACTCCTGAGGCTGATGCAGGAGTTTGAGCCAGCCTGGACAACTCAGCAAGATCTTATCTTGAAATAAAAAGGGCTGCGCATGTAGCTCAGTGGTGGAGCGCTTACCTAGCAAGTCCAGGGCCCTGGGTTCCATCCCCAGGATAAAAAAAGGGAAGCAAGCAACCAATGCCATCTTTTATTTATCAAGTTCAAAGAACCAGAGTCTGCGGTGGAGAGGGCTGCTCCCTGCATAGCTAGTGGTATTGTAACTACCAAGAAAAGCAGTTTACCAGTAGCCAGCAGAGTGTAAAATGTACTAGTGCTCTGACCCTGCAACTTAACTGAGGGAAACATAACAGCCGAAGCAGATGGATCTTTGGACAATATGAGTAGGGGTGTTTGTGACAAACCAACAAATCTGAAAACAACTTCATGCCTATCTACCAGGAACTCAGTAACTGAATCTGGGGCGGTGTGTGAGAAGTGAAAAAAAACGCCAAGACATCGACTATAAATACGCCACGAGGGAGCATGGCAGCCTGCTGACCTCTGTGCACACCCAGACATGGCTGGTGGGCGGAGGGCTCACCTGCTCCACATGGGGCTCCTTGGCGAAGGAGATCCTGGCGATGGAGTGGGACGCAATGCATAGCTCCTGCCCGTTCACCTCGCCTTCCTCCACCTCCACGATGCCTGCAGGGGGGATGGGGAGTTGCCTCTGTAGCCAAGCAGGCCTGGCAACGTGCAGAGCCCCTCCTGGCCTGCTCAGGCCTCCAGAGGCATGTGCTTCACAGTGGTCACCTATGCAGGGGACCTGTACCCCTCCTCTGCTTGTGCTCTAAGAGGAGGGGGTCAGGTGGACACGCTCTCTGGCTGTCCACTTCTGAGCCTACCAGTGCCCTAGGTACTGCACCTCCCCACTGGGCAGGTGGGAAGGTCAAGGCCACTGAGGCCCATCTGAGTAATTTCTGGATGATGAAGAGCCTGGCTGAGGAACCCTTCAGACGGCCCTCCCTCGCCTCGCCCTGACCCGGGGAAATAGGCAGGTGCACGGCCCGGGAAGGACCATGGGTGCTGAACCCTGCAGCCTCAGACAGGGCTGTCCCGAGGTCCCCTGACACAAACTGCCCAGCCCAAGAGCGTACCTGTGTTTTGTGCACTCACAAAGGCCACCTTGTTGGTATCCGGCTTGAGACGGATGAAGCCACACTCCCTGTGCAGGGGCTTGCGTGTGTCCGGGTGGAAGGAGTTGAACCTGTGCAGGAGGAGGCGGCGTGAGAAGCATGGCTGGTGCCAAGGACACAGCAGTGGGGCTTCCTGACCTGGCAGGGGCTCCTCGGCTCCCCAGTGCCCCTGCCCTGCACTGGCTACTTCCTGGCTCACTTCAGTTTGCCTTCTGGACGGACCTCTGGTTCTTAAACTCAGGAACCGCTCCTCTTTATTTGGCAGTGCAGCACTGCTGCTGGGGGCTGAACATGCCAGGCAAGTCTCAGCCACGTGATGCAGCCCTGGCCCCTCATTTATTCCATTCTTTGAGACAGTCTTGCTATATTGCTCCAACTGGCTTTGATTTTGCAACCTTCCTGCCTCAGCCTCTGGAGGAGCTGGTATTTCAGGGACGCCTCACCAAACCTTGCCAGGAACTTGTTTTTGCTGTACTTACGGAGCACCTTCTCCCCAAGGCCCTGTCAGCTCCCACACCTCACATGGACACTGTGGGTCAGCTACAGTAAAATCTCATTCTAATAGGACTGTCTTCTTTTCTAATATTTATCTCATTTTTGTATTAGGGATAGAATTTAGGGCTCTACTACTGAGCTCCACCCCCACTCCCTTTTATTTTTTTTTACTTTGAAACAAGGTCTTACTAAGTTGGTCATTGGGTACTTGAACTTTTGATCCTCCTGCCTCCCGAGCAGCTGGGATTACAGGTGTGGTAGCAGGTCTTTCCTCTTTAGAGCTATATTTTAGGGTAAGGGGCCAATCAATTCCTTTGCACTCAGGAAGCTGAGGTAGGAGGATTGCCAAGACCCTGTCTCAAAAAACGAAACACCCAGCACTTGGGAGGCTGAGGCAGGAGGATTGCCATGAGTTCAAGGCCTGCCTGGGCTACATAGTGAGTTCGAGGTCAGCCTAAACTGCACAGGGAGACCCTGTCTCTCAAAAAAAGAAAGAAAGAAGGAAAGATCTGATAAAGGATCCCCAATTTTACCATAAAGTTGATTTAGTCAGATTCTTTATTTTCTTGGTTTGTGAGACAGGGTCTTGCTATGTAGTTCAGATTGTCCTTGGACTCACTATGTAGCCCAGGCTGGTCTTGAACCTTTGGTGATCCTCCTGCCTCAGCCTCCTGACTGCTGGAATTAGACGTGTGCACCACCACACCCACCTTAGATTCTTCACATGTGATTGTACAGTGGAGACTGGGAAAGGAGTTTCGCTTTTTATTTTATACTTCTTTACTGTTTAAACTGTAGAAAAGATCTCTCAACCACTTCCATGCACCGGTGGGTCTTCAGTCTCAGACCTCAGTCTGTTGTCTGTCCTCTGCTGTGTGGGCATCACTGGAGGGCCTCAGGGGACCCTGTGTCATGGCTGTGTCTAGATGTCCCCCAAAGCAGTCACAGGTGGGGCTTTTCAGAGGTGGCTGGATTTAGAGTGTGTGATGGGATTAAGGGTGTGTGGTTACTAATGCAGTCCACTGACTGGTTTGCCATCGTTCTGGGTAGGATTGAGGGTACCCCACCCTGGATGTGAGTGTTCCTACTCCCTATGGCGGGTAGTTTAGATGAAATATAAGGGACAGAAAGAGGGCTACTGGGGTTGCTTGTCCCTTGTTGCTTGCTTGCTGCTTCTTGCCCTCTGCTGGTCCTGCTTTGCCATAAACTGTTTGTTCCTCTGCGATGCCACCCTGCCTTGGAGCCAGCCGACTATGGACTGAAACCTCCACAAACTGTGAGCTGAATAAACATCCCCTCCTTTAACTTTGGGTGTTGGGTTATTTTGTCTCAGCAATAAGCAAAGCAACTAAGACACCCTGCTTCTGGGTATGGGCACAATGTGGGAACCACAGCACTCACTGCTTCCTCAAACTCTCAGCTAGCTGGGGTAAATCTGAAAGAGAGCCATGCCTTCACTTCCAGAAACACTGGGTGATCAATTTCCATAAAGGACACAGTGCAAAGTCATGATTTCATGAAACACGGTGCCTGTTTTTATGCACTGACTGATGAGCCTGTATTATAGTGATTGGCCTAATGTCTTCAAAACTGTCACACACCAGAACATGCCATCTTTACCAACTCTGCAGGGAGAGACAAAACAGGTTCCCTCCCTCCTGCCAGCATCTGTGTCCACTGGCCAGCTCCCTTCAGGCGCATGCTTTGGTGAGCACTTACGAAAAGTTGAGCATGGGCTGGCCCACGTGTGAGATGTGCACCTCCTCCAGGTACTGGAAGGGCTGCAGTGTCGGGAAGGTGCCAGCCCCTGGCGGGTCTGACAGCCAGGTGCCCAGCATCCAGGACAGTGGCTCCACCACAGGGTTCATCTTGGGAGGCTCTGAGGGCAGAAGACCGGACAGTCAGCATAGGGCCTCCTGTCCTCAACCAGCAAATATACTCCCTACCAGAACCTTGCAGTTCCCAGGAGAAACAAAAAGAGCCCTGGGGACGAAGGGAGGTAGATGCTCCAAGCCCCTGGCAAGGCCTGAGAGTAGCGCCCACACCCAGCCAGGGCCCTTGTGCTGAAAGTCAGTGATGGAGGTAACAATCAAAGAAGAAAACGAGCAGCCTGGTGGCACAGAGCTATCATTCCAGCACTCTGGGAGACTCAGGCAGGAGGACTGCAAGTTCAAACATACCCTGGGCACCTAAGAGACTTAGTGAGACCCTGCCTCAATATGAAAATTGAGAAAAGGTGGTGGGGATGCTGGGGGGTGTAGCTCAGCGTAAAGCCCCTGCTCTCCAGGGAGTCTTTTCCCAGCTGCTGCAGAAGCCCACCGTGAGCCAGGGACACTGGAAGTTGGACAGAACCTCCTGTGGATGGCAGAGGGTGGCCCGGTGAGGACACCAGAGACAGCCCCTGGTGGAAACCAGGAATAAAGGACTCGGACTACAATGTATCGGTCACCTGCCACAGGGGAAGAACACAGCACTGGCCAGCAATCACTGCCCACTACCCACAGAGAAACCAAGCAGGGGACCATTGATTCACGGAGAGAAGCAAAGATGCAAAAGTCAGCACCCAGGAGAGGCAGACGGCGGGCTGTGGAGTGTCATGAGGCAAACACAAGGGGATGAGGATAGCAGGGTCCAGGGAGGTACAGGCCGCAGTGGGCTTGGAGGAGAGCAGCCCTGGGAGGGGTCTTGTGCACTCGGTTGCTGGCGGGAGCCTGGCCTGCTGGGGAGGGCTGGAAGGTGTAAGGCACAGACCCTAGTAGCAGAGGAGGGGGGACAGGGAATGCAGCCCAGTGCCATCTGCCTAGGAAGGTGGAGATGCAGGGCGATGCCACCGTGCTGGCCACCCCTGTGCTGCCATTCCTCCCATCTAGGCAGGGTCCCCTCGGGGGCAAAGCCGGACTGGCCTGACCTGCAGGGACTCAGCTCACCCTCCTGCCCCTGCCCCTTCGCTGCTACCCACAAGGCTGGAAAGAACACCCCAGAGACAGAGCCACCTTGGCAGTTGCTCCCCTCTCCCCGCCACCAGCTGCCTGGGACCACCCCTTAGCCTGCAGTGGCCTCCAGCCCCTCATTTCAGCCCCTCCTTCCAATCATCACTCAGAAGCCCTGCCACAGGACCTGGCATGGCCCAAGGGGACGCCCGCCTTCCCCTCCCACTGCCCACAGGGGCATCTTCATCAAGCCTGCTCCTCGGTGGGGGGGACAGAGTCAGAAAAACAGCGGAGACCAAGAAGACAAAGACAGAAGCCAGATGTGGTGGCGCGTACCTGCAATCCATCCCAGCATTCTGGGAGGCCAAGGCAGAAGGATTGAAAGTTCGAGCCCAGTCTGAAAACAGTGATTTATCAAGACTTTGTCTCGAAATGAAAAATAAAAAACAGCTAGGAATGTAGCTTAGTGCAAAATCCCTGAGTAAGAGACTGAGCCTACAGTTTCTTCAAAATCTAAGAACCAGGAATGGTAGTATAGCCCTTAATGTTAGCTACTCAGGAGGCTGAGAAAGGAAGATTGCAAGTTTGAGGCCAGCCTGGGCAACTCAGTGAGACCCTGTCTCAAAAAAAAAAAAAAAAAAAAAAAAAAGCCTGAGGAATGTAGCTTATTGGTAGATTTTTAAAATCTGTTAAGAGGATCTTTCTGGGAATACAAGGTAGGTCAGCATTATCTATGTCTTTCAGGATTTAAAGACAAAAAATAATAATGATAAAAGCTTTCCCCTAAACTAGATTTTCAGGGAAAATAGGTCACAGACACAAAGCATGGCCATTACATAATACACCATGGCTGTGGGAAGTGATGGGGCAGCAGCAAGAGAGGCAGAAGGCCCAGCCTCAGGGGTGCTCTTGGGGAAGACAGGCCATTTCCAGCAGGATGGGGAACAGGTTGATGGCTGGGGGGCCCTGAACGCCCAACACGGCAGGCAGGAAAACAGCAGGCCCCCTCTGTGCAAGGGGATACTGTTGGGCCACAAAAAGGCCACGGGCCGGCCATGCAGACCCATGATAGTATGGGGTTAGAGGATATATTACTAAATTAGTTTCACTAGTTTTTTACCTGCTTAAGGTAGCTGTTAGGAGGCTGAGGTAGAGGGGCTGCAAGTTCAAGGTTAGGCTGGACAACTTAGAAACTTAGTAAGCCTCTGTTTTAAAATATAAAAATTTAAAAAGGGCTTCTGGTCCTACTGGGAAGCACTGGGTGGCACTGTCCACACTCAGCAGGGGCCACATGGCCCTGCTACCCATTGAGGACTATGCCAGAAGACACGCTCTACCAGGACAAGGCCCACTGTCCATGGCAGAGGTTCTGATGTTTCAAGGAAAAAAAAAAACAAAAACAGAAATATAAATTTTTTTTTGTTTTTTTTTGTTTGTTTGGTTTTTTTTTTGGTTTTCCTCCGGTACTGGGAATCGAACTCACGATCTCGTGCTTGCCAGGCAGGGGCTGTGCCGCTGAGCTAAATCCCCAGCCCCTGGAATATAAATTTTGTATTAAAATATTCCAATTTTGAAACATTTCCTCAAACAACAATGGCTGTGGCCTAGGTGTAGCGGTGCATGCCTATGATCCCAGCCACTTATGAGGCTGAGGCAGGAGGATCCCCACAAGTTCCAGGCCAGCCTGGGCTACATGGTGAGATCAAGGTCAGCCTGAACTACACAGCAAGACCCCGTCCAAAAACAACAACAACAATGGCTGTGGTATGTGCTAGCTGATCATGAGCTATCACAGCTGGGGTCTTCTCAGGTGGTATGGCAGGATGACCCCTTCCAATCACCAGGGTCCTTGCTGCCACTCAGTCAAGGCCAGAGCTGCCCACACCTGGAATACACTCTGGCCCCTTCTGCCAGCTGCTTCCAGACCCTCTTCCTGAACCATGTGTGGGTTGGTTTCAGGCTGTCTGACCTGCACACACAGTGTCCCCTACCCCTCTGTCCCTCTTGGCAGGGATTTGACCACCAGCTCAACAAAGCATGTGCAGGACCAAACAGCAGAGCCTGCTACAGATACCTGCAGAACCTGGGAAGCAGGCTGGAGCTAGGAAGGAGGAAAGCAGTCAGTCCTGGGGTAAGCATGGGGCCTCGCCAGCCTGGCCCACCATCCCCTCCCGGTGGGCTTGCTGAAGACCTTCCTGGAGAAAGGTGACACCCAGGGGATTTGGCCGCAACCCTTCCTCCCTGCCAGGCACAGGACACATCACCCGGCAACTCTGAACAAGCACAGAAAAGGGCACTGCACAGAGACAGGAGAGAAAGCATGCACTGTTGAGGGGCTGCCGCAGGGTGGGGCATACTGAGCACCCTCTCCCCTCGCAGAATGGCAGGTGGGGACAGGATGGCCAGAAGGGTGGTAAGGCCTGGAGGATAGCTGGTTGACAGTGAGTCCTTGGATGGAGAGGAAGCCTCGCCCAGAAGCTCAGAAGTCAGATGGCCCTGCACTGCAAACCTGTGGTACCTCACAGCGCCACCAGGAGGTACTGGGAGCCACGGGTCTGGGGCAGGACCCAGCTGTGCCAGCCACCTTGGGGTATAAATGAGTGCAGGGTCATGGTCTGTCCCTGCTGTGCCCCATGACATTGTGTGGCGAGGTCTGAGTGAGGCCTTGTCCAGTGGGAGCTGTCTGGGCCAGCAGGACAAAACTGCCAGGACCAGAATACAGGAGAAGGCTTTGGATACCACGTAGTCAGTGGTGCAGAGGTGTCCACAGGAGGGCAGCTGCTGACGTGGCACTTCTGGTGAGGGACAGGTGAAGGTGCCCAGGCCACAAGAGCCAAGAGTGGACTGTGGTCTCAGACCACACAGAATCACCAGGGAGGAGTGGCTTGGGCAGCACAGCATCAACCAAGGAGCAGGCAGGGAGGACGCCAAGTGCCGGAACTGTCACACAAATGCTTATTTGTACCCCAGGACGTGGTGGCTGTCCTTAGGACGAAGTTCAGCAGGTTCTTCTGGAGGAGAAACTAATGATTCAGACATGGCCCCTCCTGCATACAGAGGGGTCACACCAAGCCACAAAGTGAAAGGAGAGACAGGACTCCAAGATGCTAAAGAGCACCAAGTGCCTGGGAGAGGAGGGAAACAGAGTACGGGCCCACCATGGTGTCACCAGACCCTGAGGAACTGCCTCACATCCACCTGGGCGGAGCAGCACTTGTGCTCCGCAGCCCCCCAGCTCTCTGTTCTTAATGAGCCTCAATGTGTACAAGGACAACAGGCCTGGCAGTAAACAATCACTGCTTCCTTCTCACCGCTCCCAGGGCACCTCGCCAAGTGCCCGGCCTGGCTCCCTGCCTGCTCCTACGTCAAGCTGCACCCCTGCTGGGGCTGTGCCAGCGCCTGGCCACACCTGTTTTCTTGCCACCCTGTTTTCACTAAAGTGGGGTGTGGTTCAGGATGACCAATAAGATCGATCATTCTGGAATCTACACAGTAGGTTGCCTACAGAAGGTCAGATATGTATCAAATGTCATCAAAGTATATCCTCAGGAGTTGTGTATTTTATTGCTATGTGGATCAAACTTCATTAGAAAAGAATGAAATGAATTCAAAATGAAACAAAATCATAAGAAAGGGCATAGCCTATTTGCAACTTTCAACCTCGAAATAAATCAAGATGGGTTCTTCATGCATTTTCCCCTGATTTCATTTTTCTTTTATTAATATCTCAACCAGAATGCAAAAATAAAAATTTAAATTTTTTGCAAGAAATTTAAATTTTTATTTTTTGGCTCGAGACATTGAAAGCAGGCTTACCCATCCCTAAGTTTTCTGAACTCCAACAGCTATCCGGCAAGGTTCCTCAAGGTTGTTTTCTGCCAACTGACAGGAAATGTTTGCACCTGGCTGCCAGGGTGCTGGGGGAAGTGGACGCTGAATTCAGAGGGCA